TACCCCGAAAAATATTCTTAGACAGCTGATAATCCATCCTGAAAAGTCACCTTATCAACTTTCAAACGTTTTGACATTTTTATTGGCCACTTTGACGCCAGACAGTTTTGGTCACATGGCTCACTCCTGAGGGCTGACTGGAAAGAGGATAAATTTGCAGTGATTGACCCCCGACAAATAATCGGCGTCACTTGCTGACTGTGCGTACAGTTAGCGACAGACATTGGCTTCAGACTGGTTGGCTTCAATCACCCTCAATCGTCACGAATGGTCCCGTGCCGACTAAATACCGAGGCGTAGGCCGTATCGGAAACCTCTATGTTGCGGCGTTAGCCACCTCTGCAGGAAGTGGACTTTCTAGCAAAAACTATTTTGTCTAGAGAAATTAGTTACTGTTGAGCATATTGTTACCAGCCATGGCAAACACATAAGCTCAGTTACGAACCAAGTTCAGCGTGCCCTTAAAGGGACTATCCCACCTTTAACATGGGGTTTGAGTTGAGATAGCCAAGTTTGCGGCGAGGTTCAGAAACCACTATCTATCTAGGTTGCAACCCCCGCGGCCTCTTGGTGTTGAAGAAATTCGTTCCCTTCATTTGAAAATGGGCCTTGTACAAGGCCCTATCTTCAACATGGAGCGACCGTTAGTGTGACGTCACCTCGTTTAGTCATTCTGATTTAAATGGGTTTGTTCGTTGAAAAATCGCTTAAAGGGACTATCCCACCTTTAACATGGGGTTTGAGTTGAGATAGCCAAGTTTGCGGCGAGGTTCAGAAACCACTATCTATCTAGGTTGCAACCCCCGCGGCCTCTTGGTGTTGAAGAAATTCGTTCCCTTCATTTGAAAATGGGCCTTGTACAAGGCCCTATCTTCAACATGGAGCGACCGTTAGTGTGACGTCACCTCGTTTAGTCATTCTGATTTAAATGGGTTTGTTCGTTGAAAAATCGCTTAAAACTTGGTCTGAACTTTGTTGTGGTGCCTACAGAGTAAAAAGAATCAGCTTTATAACAGTAATGTGGCCTGGGGAAGGAGGTAATTTTGGGCTGTGACGTCACATATTTGAAAGTTTGTGTTTGGAATATGGGAAGCCTCAGATGTTTAATGAAAAATAAATGCCAGAACCGTGTTCCTGGTCATCCAATCTATAAAGTCGGGCACAATTTAACTGGTTTTAACAACATTTTAGAAGGTGGGATAGTCCCTTTAAACTTGGTCTGAACTTTGTTGTGGTGCCTACAGAGTAAAAAGAATCAGCTTTATGACAGTAATGTGGCCTGGGAAAGGAGGTAATTTTGGGCTGTGACGTCACATATTTGAAAGTTTGTGTTTGGAATATGGGAAGCCTAAGATGTTTAATGAAAAATAAATGCCAGAACCGTGTTCCTGGTCATCCAATCTATAAAGTCGGGCACAATTTAACTGGTTTTAACAACATTTTAGAAGGTGGGATAGTCCCTTTAACCCTATTAGTGGCAGGCTCCTGGCTACCCCTATTAGTGGCAGGGGGGGGGGCTGTTTACGACCCCCCCTCTGATATCTTGAAATCTAACGGGCCGATTTTCAAAATTCAAACGGCATTCGATTTCGCTCAACGTGATCTACATTTCTAAAAAATAAAAATGTCAATAGAGGGGGGTAAAAACGGGCAAATTGCAGATACATTTTGGACTGTTTATCACGGCCAGGTTTCTGAACCAATCTTACCGCAACTTTTGCCGATCGATAGAGAATGAACCAGAAATTCACATGGATCCTAAAAATATGCATTTTCAAAAATCATAGGCGGATACAGATGTAATTACTAATTATTCCCCAATATTCAGCACCTGGACGCACCTATGATTTTAGGGGAAAACATCGCTTGTAAGAGTTCACAGATACATGGTATGGTGCATTTGATCGCTTTCTGGCAATGTAACTACTACGAAACCGCTCATCAAATGGTACTGTACGTACATTTCAGTATGAACCCCCCGCCCCCTTTTTGGACGCCTGGATCCGCCTATCATAGCAAAAACGTGTCAAAAGAGGATGCACAATAACTTTGTATATGTTATCACATGATACCTTTCATTCACTGTTCGTAAAACTGGTGCATACAGTTCAAATACATCAGCATCGTGATCTTCGCCCAAATGACTCGCTTCACGAATAGGACCCCCAATTCCCAGTGCTCTGGAGCCGCCCCTGGTAAAGTTATGAACTTGAAATTTTCAGGGAATGTGCCTAATTTAGTTTTAGGAAAAGTCAGAAAATTTCAGCATCGTAGCTTCAGCGGTTTCGGAGATATTCCCAAAAAACCTGAGGGGTGGATGAAAACAACCACTAATAGGTTGCCACTAATAGGCTTAATACACCCCCTGCCACTAATAGGCTTAAGGAAGAGAGTCTCTAAACGTAGAATTTAGGTGAGAACGAACTTATGGGACACCCTGTATATTGTATTGTATACATTGTGTGTCATCTTTCACCTTAGTTGTCATTTGAACCTGTGTTAAATTCTGAACTTCAGGACGAAGCAGACTATTTCCACAGTCAGGAAATCGCACGCGAGAGCCTATTCAAATCCATCAAGTTGTAATAGCATCGATCGCACGCATGGATGCGAGTGCGACCGGGGTTTATTTGAATAGGCTCTCGGTCTCGCACATGATTTCTGACTGCGGAAAGAGTCGGTTTCAGCCTCTACTCAGTAGGCAATTCGCTCATGCGACGGCAAATATAAGTTCAATATGGAAACAGTTTTTTTAACGAAACGGCGTATGGTAAGTAGAGTTCTGCACGGCTGCAATTTTCCACAGCCTAGCCGCCCCGCAGCCGTGGCTCCACAGCTACAGCCGCCCACAGCCGTGGCAAACTGTGGGCAGCCAGCCGTCAGCCGGCCGTGGATATTTTTAATGAAATGAAACCAAATAGTATTTAATAAGTTGTTTTTAGTTAAAACATATAGACAAAAGCACCTTGCAATGGGCTATAGATTCTCAAGCTCATGAAGCATGCCTACACAAGCCCTTGCAAGGGGTTAAAGGTAGTGTGCCACCTTTGAAAGATTTCCCATTTTATTTTTCCTAGGATAAGAAGCTTCTGTTTTTACCTAATATCGCAAAAAAAAAAAATCAAAAATGGGCCTGGAATAGTGCCTTTTTCGCCTAAAAGTTTATCGGTTTTTAGATATTTATAACAACTGTAGTGGGCTCACCTGTAAACAGGCGTCGGCAACAATCGCGAATGCGGCGCACATGTGACAATAAGCAAAGGTCATTATAGTGTTACGACCATACGACGTACGGGAATGAGTTATCAGCTGTCTAATCGTAGACAACACAATGTCGAGCCTTAAACTGTAAGCCTGTATTGGCATTGTTTCTTTTATTTGGCTGTCGAACATTATTTATGGTTTGAAATATGATTTTATGTAAAATAATTGATATGAAAAAGCCGTCTCATAAGTTATGACCCCATTTCACCACACGCAAGTGGCAGAAATGACAATGATCAGCTGACGCATTTTTCTTGGCCGAAGTCAGAGCGCGCAGCCCGACGCACCACCACCGCACCACAAAGTATGAGCAGAAGCCGCGCCCAAAGCCAGGGCCCCGGTAACGTGAGGTAGCCGAGTCGGGGCAGCGTGCGCTGACCCAAGCCGGGGCCGCAGCTTTGGGCGCGGTCTACCGCATCCCCGCGGGCAGCCCCGGGCTATCACATGACACCGGGAGGACGCGCGGCTCCGGCTTGGGTCAGCGCACGCTGCCCTGACTCGGCTACCTCACGTTACCGGGGCCCTGGCTTTGGGCGCGGTCTACCGCACCACCTAACAGGCGTGTTCGAAACCGCAGGAGCTGATGATGAACGGGTTTATCGAAACTTGATTGGATGACCATATCGGTAATAGCGATTTCAGTGTGTGCATTTATTGTTCATAGTGGTGTGAAATGCGGTTGAGGTACGACCGACAACCCGTCGGGGCGAATTTCGCACTGGGGTACTCAAAATTTGAAGAATTTAAGACGTTTCCATGAGTTTTGAAGGTATGGATAAGTTCTAAAAATCCGGTTCTCCTTATCTGGGCCATTAACTCCATACGGTCCAGGAAAGCTGGCACACTACCTTTAAGAAAGATGGGTAGGTACATACATGAACAGAAAATATAAACAACGAACCAGAATAGAACCAGTGTAGACATCTAATGCCAAATCCTGAAGCATGGTTGTGGGACAGAACAACAGACTCTGGTACTTTTCATTATCAATGTAATGGAAAATGAAACTGAAGTTGATGAACTGTCAAACAGTGATTGTCCTGATAGTTAAAACTCTTGCTTCTTCTTACCTTGCATATTTTCTGGGGTGTGATATGCCAGGCTTCAAGCAACCTTCTGAGCAAGTCTCAAACTAATTGAATATGCAAGGCATCAAAACACTAGTGAGCATCCAAGAAAGAAAAACATCATTCATGTATTTTGAGTAGATGTAAATTTGATTGACTCGAGAGTATGAAAGCTTCGTTGCGATCGGCCGCTTTTTACGCGAGTTATTTGCAAAAAACCGAGGGAGGGGTTCATTTGACCCCCTCCCCCTATAGGGGTGAGGGTTCAAGTGCTATGGTTACAACGCACTCGTCAACTGTACAGTGTATTCAAACGCGATTCCCTGGTGATACAAAACGCAAAAGTTGAATAAATCATAGAATGGACGCGCTCCGTTTTTGCCATATTTATGCAACATTTCATGCAGCTTAATGCACATTGCAAAAGCTTATGACATGGTTAACGTGATACGTCCACGTTCTCTTATGAATCTGCTACAGATTGGTGTCATTTGTAGGCGTAGGCCGCCTAGATCCAAGTCTATGAGGACTGAAAGGTGGTGAGAGGCTAGACCCACTGAAGCGGCCACTGCGGTGGCGGTGGCAGAGCTGACGCCGCCGGTCGCCGGCCCGTACCCCGTGCCACCGGTGCAGCCGCCCCGTGCCCCGTAGCCCCGCCGGCACACTCACGTGTTTCGGTAGGTAGATGTCGTACACGGTAGCTGAGTCGAGGTCCACCGCGTGGAAGCCGTCGCACGAGCCGTAAATGACCTTGAGCCGGGTGTTATCCTCGACTGTGAGGTCGACCAGTAGTGGCCGATGTGCCAGCTCACCGAAACTCTGCCGAGACCGCGCCACACCCGCACGGTCAATGTCAGGTGCTTACACATTAGCTTTGGCACAGCCTACAGGCACCCGATTTCCCTACAATTTGAGCAAATGCCGCAACTTTCAGAGTTTTTTTAAACAAAGCAAGCGGAACTCGTGTTGAGTGAAGTGCTGATATGATTACTAGGGTGTGAATGAGCACTAGTGTGTGAGATGATCACTAGTGTGAAATGATCACTAGGGTGTGCTATGATCAGTGATCACAAGGATATGAATGATCACATCACTAGGTTGTGAAATGATCACTAGGGTGTGATATGATCGGTAGGATGTGAAATGGTCACTAGGATATGAAATGATCACTAGGGTGTGAAATGATCACTAGGGTGTGAAATGATCACTAGGGTGTGATATGATCACTAGGGTATGAAATAATTGTATTGTATTGTTTTGTATTTAAAGGATGTGCCAAAAATAATGTCACACCTTTCCAGCGTCAATTTCATGAAAATAACAAACTTGAGAAGCGCGCTTTTCTAACATATGCATCCCACCTTCTCCCTGATGCGGGCAAGCATACGGTCCGGGACATCAGACATCAACATGTCTATTGTCTAGCTTCTGTGGACTGATCTTGGACCAGACAGATCGAACGTTCCTGGTCAGCGTGCGTTCAGGTTATCCTGGCGCCGTTTTGCTCACCTCTTACAGGACGATCGCCCAAAGATTTTCTATCGGCGATAGGTCGTGGCAACTCCCCGGCAATTTGTCCTCCCAGAATGCTGGGAAGGTCGATCTGTACCAGTCCTTCGTCGTTCTAGCTCGATGAGCCGGGGCGCCGACTATGGCCCTGGACATGTTCAGCAGAAGTTTTCGGCTGGAAACGTGGCTTGTTGGGCTTCAGCAAAAGAGACATCCTCCGGTACCGATGGGTTATCAATTTGAAGACTGGATGACTGTTGGCAATCTGCCTCCTTGCCAGTTTCCTTGTGGATAAGCCCGTCTTTAGCTCCGCACTTCGCGATGACGATCTGCGCTATACCCGGCTGGCGGAAGTCTTCCTGCCGCGACCTAGCTTGTTCTCAGGCGTCTATCCGCTTCTGTCACGTGACAACCAGCGCCAAATCGTGCGGTAACTCACGCCCAGTGCCTCGGCGACCTGGCTGTGGGCCATGCCACCGGCAACCATGCCGACTGCCCCGCTGCGGGACGATTTGCCCTGCAGTTTCGCCATCCTGGACACCTGGTCCGCGCGCGCTGGGTACTGCCCCGGAAATGACCTCTGTACACCCCTTGACCGGTCAGGGTCACAAAAATTCGAAGGTCACGTGACTAGAATGTAGCCAATATGGTCTGGGAGCCAGTACCGGTGAAATTATATTGATATTGTGCAGTAAAAGGCAAAACAAAGGCTGTGGGAGGGTGTGACATTAATTTTGGGACACCCTGTACATTTAAGAGCGATCCACATTCAAAATGCCTGGCGATTACTGCTCAGAATCCGTATCCGTGGTTGCAAATCTAATCATTCATAACATCTGCAAATTCACTCACGTCAAAACGCGGACAAAACACTTTCAGGACCAGTGTGAAGAATTGTGCTGAGTTGGGGTAGCACGAGCTTTCCCAATTCCACGCCGGCTTGGCTTTGGAGCCGCAACAGACGGGGGAGGTCAAGGTCACCGCTAGGGCACAGTGTTGCCAGGTCTAGAGGTAAACCTCCAGATCTAGAGGTTTTAGGGGAGCGTTTCGGGGCTCCTGGAGGTTTTTGAAAAAGGGTGTCATTATGATTTCCAATAGCAGTTACATAATCTATGTAGACCAAAAGTGGGTGCCGTAGCGCGCTTTGGTGCCTCTGACACTGCGCGTCTGCAGAAGGATCAGCACGGCCTACCTTGAACGCCATGAACTTGTGGTAGGGCTTCGGCGCCCAGGCGTAGATCTCGATGCTGTCACGCAGGGCGATCACAAGAAACTTGATGCGCTCGAACTTGACGATCTTGAAGTGGACGGCGCCGTTGAGGTCGCCAACATTGATCCACCCATTCCTTCTCTCCAGCTGCTGTGAACGCAGTACGCACCCACCGTCAGTCGTCAGCAAGCAGTCACGTCGCGCTGCTCCGCGGAGCCCCGCGCTTCCCCTCCGGCGCCAGGCAATCATCTCATGGGCGCTGAAAATTATCAACACCATGAAAATGTGTTTGTCTACGTGTTTCTAATTTGTCCACTAACCAATCGAACAGTAGCAAAGCCTGCTAAGGTTGTGAGAGGAAGCAAGGCGCGGCTGCGCCGGCCCGGCCCGGTTTGCCAGAGCTGCAGCCGCTACTCACCGACTCCGACTTCAGGATCTTGTTCTTGAGCCAGCTCAGGTAGTAGACGCGCACTCTGTTCTTTTTCCCGCTGACGGTCACCAGAATGTTCTGGCCCTCGAGAACCTGTGCGGCAGTCGGGCACACAGGGACACAGTCATGTCGAAAGGCTCAGCACCGCTCAGGCCCAATGACGATGACAACGGAGGCGACAGGTGTTTAGTGACGAATGACATGTGACATAAGACAACGTTTAGCTATTTCCAATAGTTAGCAAGCCACGTGACATTAACAGTCGGAATATGACATCATTTCTATGACTACATTACCATTTCGAGGGGAGCTATAGTCTGTTCCATATTTACCCTCGCCCGTATTGCTGTTTTGCCAGCCGCGAACGTATAGATGCGCGCGCGTGGGGAGGGGGGGGGGGGCGAAGACACTTGCTGTTTGGCCCTTGACTGAGCTTGAGCTTCGCAGAAATACGAGCATTGTTGCCCGTGACGAGAGGAAGCCGATGCTACCCAATTTTAGGGTCCTAGGTCATTAGTTGACCATCCAGGTCAGGTCAATGACCCAATAGTCGGGAAAATTGGAACCTGTCAGAACTTCGTAAAGTGAGGCTGCAATAAGGGTTTCAGGGTACTGATCACGAATTTGCGTTAGTTTTGATCATAGATAATGTTTTCATGCATTTCATGCATCGTGTGCATTGAAATGCACACGTTTTTGCAGGTCGGGTCAGGCCACGTCAGGTCAAATCGTAGGCGTCCTGCCGGGTATTCATAGTAGGCGTAAACAACCACTAACGGCTTCGTAACATGTTACGAGGGGAAGAAAACTACTTCGTAAATGTTCAAATGGCTGCTAAATTCGAAATCAGCTCCAAAAACTAGCAAACAAACGAAGAAAAATTGAACAAAGGTGATCAAAGATGACCTGTCCTGACCTTCACGTCACCTTGACACCTACCATAATGTATGGGGCGGCCCTAACATCATTTCACATTCAAGATACGTTTTTTTTTTCGCCTATTGTAAACGGGGGTGACTTTGCCTTGCTGGGTGACTTTGCCATGCTTCTCAAAAAATGCTTTAGGGTGATCTCCAGTGATATTTTACGAAGAATGTAATAATTTTTTATGCACAAATGAAAGACAATGGATGGGCCTTCCCACATAACCAACGTTGAGAGATAAATTACCACTTAATACTTAACATGGCTTCCTTTTATCTGAGTCATTGAAATTGTCAAATTTGAAGAGGTCCGAACTTTTTATTATCTTACCATGTTCTAGACCAACTGCGATGCTGAAATTTGGTATGGTTGATCATGACAAGGCTGTTAAGTTAGCATATCCAACAAAACTGACATTTGGATGGGATGGGAAAATGGAATGTGCAGGCGAGGGTTAACACGCTCGCTTCTATGTAAATATTTGATGAAGCTATCGTTATCGATTGACCGAAACGGGGACTTCGATAACGCTACTTCTATAAGGATAATCCATAACAATAAACTTGAAAACGTTGTCGTCGATAACGACCTCAATAATCCTTATCGATGGGAGTTATCGAAGTGCCAACCACTGTTGCTGAGATATAAGCCTCGCAGAAGCGTGACCACGGCCTGCCGGCCGGCTGGCCGACCATACTCAGAAATTTCCGTTAATATACGAAAGACTTAACACTTCCCGCTCGCTCGTAATATTATAACTTTAAAACCCTCGCCGGCACAGGGGGTTGATGCAACCCCCCCCCCTAAGGTTTTTCGCGAATAACTCGCGTAAAAAGCGGCCGATCGCGACGAAACTTTCAGTACCCTCGCATTGATCAATTTTACACCTACCCTGAAAATTTCATGACCCTGACCCAAATGACCTTTGACCTGTGACCTCTTTTCCGAGACCATGTTTGGCCGGAATCGCGATTCGGCGTATGTCGGCTCGCATTAGCCGCGCATTTGCAAGCTTTTTGTGGTTTCAAACGCTCAAACATGTGATCTGATGTTGCTCCCATACATTAGAGTGGGTGTCAAGGTCACCTGAAGGTCAGGTCAGGTCATTGACCTTTGGTGACCTCGTTTGGAGCTGAATTCGAATTTAGCAACCATTTGAGCATTTACAAAGTAGTTTTGGTGCCTTCGTAACATGTTACGAAGCTGTCAGAGGCGGTTCATGCGTATTACGAAAACCCGTCACAACCCCTACCGGTTGACCTGACCTGACCTGACCCGACCTGGTCTAAATGCTTAAAGACATCATCTCTGATCAAAACTAACACGATTTTCGTGATCAGCATCCCGGAAAACCAAATAGCAGCGACATTTTACGACTTTCTAACAGGTCTCCCGGTTTTCGGGTCATTGACCTGACCTGGAAGGTCACCCGATGACCTAGGACCTTAAAATTGGGCATCATCGGCTTCCTCTCGTGACGGGCAGCACGCTCGTTTTTTTCCCGCGAAGCTCTAGCTCGATCAGGGGCCAAACGCGAGGGGGAGGGGGGTCGTACTAACCTTGTGCCGTCGAAGGACGCAAAATGGCCTGTGCCGGCGAGGGTTAACAATATTTTTAGCATTGCAATATGGGAAGTTTGAAGGAGAGCTTTGTACTACTGTCTCGCCGCATCACGTGCCCACCAACCTCCATCTGCTGAAAGCGCCGGCGAGAGATGAGCTGGTAGACCTTCCCCTGGCCGGAACGGTCCAGCAGCATCAGGCCGTTTTCAGTGCCGATCAACAGATTCACGCCTGCGGCAGGCGGCATCTGCGGTCAGAGACCCACCGCAGGGACCCACAGACCCACCACAGGGACCCACAGACCCACAGACCCACCGCAGGGACCCACAGACCCACAGACCCACCGCAGGGACCCACAGACCCACCGCAGGGACCCACAGACCCACCACAGGGACCCACAGACCCACCACAGGGACCCACAGACCCACCACAGGGACCCACAGACCCACCACAGGGACCCACAGACCCACAGACCCACCGCAGGGACCCACAGACCCACCACAGGGACGCACAGAACCACAGACCTACCACAGGGACCCACAGACCCACCGCAGGGACGCACAGACCCACAGACCTACCACAAGGACGCACAGACCCACAGACCCACCGCAGGGACCCACAGACCCACCACAGGGACGCACAGACCCACAGACCTACCACAAGGACGCACAGACCCACAGACCCACCGCAGTGACCCACAGACCCACCACAGTTACCCGGTTTACATAGCATATTTGACGAGGCTCTAGCTCGTTAATTTGGCGATAATTTCGATGCAGTGGTCTTCAAATATTTAGAGGGGATCATTTTGTAAATTGTTCAGCACCATTGGCATCTTTTGCAACATCACGGACGGAGATATAAGCTTGCAACAAAACCTATGTAAACGCGTCTAGTGACGCACAGACCCACAGACCCACCGCAGGGACCCACAGACCCACCACAGGGACGCACAGACCCACAGACCCACCGCAGGGACCCACAGACCCACCACAGGGACGCACAGACCCACAGACCCACCGCAGGGACCCACAGACCCACCACAGGGACGCACAGACCCACAGACCCACCAAAGGGACTCACTGACCCACCACAGGGACGGGACGCACGAGCAAACAGCTATGTTTCGTTTTTGTCAAATGATGGTTTGGCTCCAAGAGCATTTTCGTTTTAAAGGAAATAGTTCACTTTCACGAAATTATTTTTTTTTGCAATGGATTTATGATTTTTTATGTTCAAAATGATCAGCAAAGAAAATAAAACCTATTTATAACAAAATATTATTTTCTATATTTTGATAATAAGAAGAACTTTTCAGTTTCTGTAAGGCACAGGCGATCCAGTATGAAAAGAGCATGGGTCCCGAAAATTCTTCAGAAACTAGAGAAATGATCGCGGCCACCGGCATTTGGGCGATCTGCTGCTGCTGAATGTCCTTATTGATCAGTACGAGAATTTCTCTAGAGTTCTCGTAGATAATTTCTCTAGTTTCTGAAGAATTTTCGGTACCCATGCTCTTTTCATACTGGATGCGAATATATGCAAGGCACACATCCTCAACGCAAGACACCTTTTTCGGGACGAGAAATAGAATATCTTTGCCTAGGGTGATCGTTGGGCTGTAAAAGCTCCTGATTTATGCTCGTCTCAGCCCAGGCTACGGAACTGCTATTCCAGTTCAAAACCCATGTTAAAAAGTGAACTATTTCCTTTAATCACGCGTTTAAGACATCAAAAAGGATTAAAAAATGAGCCTGAGAAAATCGAACATTGTCCAAGGTAAACATCTGAATTATTCCCGACTAGAGTAGGGGAGAGTGGGGCACATTCGTGCAAAAAAATGTATAAATCCATATATCTGTTCCTTGGTTGGTGCAATGGTAAACTTGTTGATTGCAGTATGGAAAGGAACTATTGCCGATAATTTTCTTAACCCTCGCCCTGGCAGGGCATTTTTCATAACACGGCCTGGCAGGGGGGGGGGGTCGTTGCCACCCCCCCCCCCTCGCAATTGGCTCCTATGGCGCCTAGAAACACCAAATTTGGTAGGTAGGTGGGCCCCCTGGAATTCTCGCCCCTGTGCAAATTTGGTTGCTCTAGGTCAATATTTAGGGGGATTTTAGGGGGGTATAAATGTAAAAATTTCGCTAAAAACAGGTCAAAAGTTTTTCGCCTATAACTTATGATCTAATTAAAATACAGCAAAAATAAAGGCACCAGTGAACTCAGTACGTCAAGGCGCCTCGAATGATATACTTTTTAACTTGCTTAAGTGTACTTAAAGCTTTTCTTAATTTTTGGGTAAACATTAATTAATTAATTAAGTTCAAGTTAACCAAATTGCATCATATCGCATATCATTCGATTCGGCTGATCACGAGGAACACAATGACACCATTTTTTAGCTCTAGCGTCATTATGTCCCAAGCTATTGGCAAAAAATGTCATTTGACCTCAGTTGACCTCATTTGACCTGACCCATGGATAAGTACACCAAACAAAGAAGCACCAAGTGACCTGCTGTTAAGTACTGTGGTTTCAAAGCACAAAAGTGATGGAACGAAGCGGATATCTCCAGTATTTTCCGAATTTAGTATTTTCCCATAGGCTTAACATTAAGACGTAATGACCTCTAACTGACCTCAGGTCAGTGACCTCAAAAAACCCGAAAACTATATGTTATACAACTCGGTGAACTAAGCACATCCTGAAAGTTTGAAGGAAATCAGTCCAAAACTGTGAGCTGGACAGGTGTAAAAAGAAAATTGAAATTTGACCATGACCTTGTACCGGTTTTTCTGACTTGGTGACCTGACCCAAGGTCACCCGGACCTGAAATTTCCAGGTCATATGTAAAAAGGTTGCCCCATAGGCTGTGCCAAATTTGCGCCGCCGTTTTTACGCTATCTTCGAAAAACCTTAGGGGGGGGGCCGCATCGACCCCCCCCCCCCTGCCAGGGCGAGGGTTAACTAAGAGTTATCCTCTAACATTATCGTTTCTGTTAGAAAAATGACATCTAATAACTCTACGTTTGCACAAAACTGCGCCAGTTATGGGACACTTTCGGGCAAGGGGTGGGGCACTTCCGTGCACTCCGCAAAGTTTGATGAATTACCAGGCATTAGAGCAGAAATTTACCGAAAGATATTGGCAGTGGGGCATTTCACTCCATTCCTTTCGATAAGAATGTGTTGCACAACAAATGTAGAAAGAAAGGGCTGGCCAACAAGAATGTGCCAACTAGTGCCGGCCAGTAGTCCACTTCCGTGACCTCGCCAAGGTCGCGTGAATTACTTGTCACGACGCCGCAAGCAGCCGAGGCTGAGTCAGGCGAGCGTCATACTTGAAACCTACTACAGCTTAAGCAATAAATCGCAAAAATGAAAGAAAATTTGCACGCATATACCCCTAGCCGAACCTGTACACAAACCTGCCCCACAACGTTTTTTTTTTGTAGTATCTTTCAAAATGTTTAAATATCCAGATGAGGATTTCTTTCAGCCCAGTCTCCACTGCATCGCGCGCGTCCGTGCCTACGCACGAGGCCTTGGTACTTTTATGACGTAGGCTGCTAAGGTGTTTACGTTACTTTTATCTTTTGCATTTCCTTTTTTTACAGATCATGTGCCTTTTTATTAGTGATGTCAATTACGGAAAATCGGAATACCGATACCAAACCAAATACCAACCAAAACCATGGAGAAATACCGAAACCAAACCAACTTGGGAATATGAGAGAAATACCAACTTTTTACCGATTTCTTAGCCTCTTATACATTAGTGAGGATTCATAATACCAACAAAATACCAAACACATTAGGACTGAAATACCAAATACCAAGTTGGTTTCGGTTTGGTATCGGTATACCAAAAAGTTGGTATCCGATTGACATCTCTTCTTTTTATTGTACCTTTTTATTGCTTCTTAGCGTTTAGGCCTATTGTCACTTTTATATGAGCTATTGCTATTTTAAAGTGTCCTCGGCTTTTTGTCTGTGGTGGGTAAACAGGCATATGTAGGGGAGAGTGGGGTGATTTGGCCGGTGGTGTTAATTGGCCGCCCCCACCTGTACGAAAGCTGATAAAAGTGAATGAAATAACTTTAGTCTCTATTCATTTGTCGTCGGCAGAACTAACTCGGGAACAAATGTCAAAAGTTTCCCCCTCTTAGTTTTATTCAAAATTAATAAAAGGTGAATTTCGTTAGAAAATGGTAACTTTTACTTCCGTTTAAAAATTTGTATACCATGTAGTATTTGGGCTGTAAACGAATTCCATCATTATAGCGCCATTTTTGAGGGTGTTCAGCGGTTCCAAGAGCAATTTCATCTAATTCTGTACAGCCATGACGACTTTATAGACAAAACAATTTTAGAATGGCAATGTGGGGTTATTTGGCCGGGACTAGCGGGGCAACTTGGCCGGTGCGCTCAGAGTCACTATACTGGGACGGCCGAGTTGTCATGGTCAATTATACCATAAAGGACATAATTCATGACCAACTTTGACTACCTTGATGCCATATTTCCTATTGGACAGCTGTAAGGGCATGTGACGTCATCAAAGGTTACCTAACGCTTTTTTGCTAATAAATACTTACAGAAAAAAGATACAGCCGCGCAAATGGCATCATTGTGTTCAGCTCGTCAAGGCGCATCGAATGATAGGTACATGATGACCTTGAACTCACGTAACCTTGAGGTCAAGCGACCTGAGGTAACGTGGCCTGAAGCCAACCTTTGACCTTGACCTCTCGAGGTCAACACATACGTGTTTCGATGCGGAATGACGAGAGAATTACGATGGTACTTTTAGTTTTGGCCTAGCTTGATTACTTCAAAAGCTATTCGTAAATAACTGTCATCGCATCTAGAGCCGTTATCTAACTTACTATTCAAACAGAATCCGTCTGTCTGTGAGTCTGTGAGTCTGTGTGTCCGCACATCGTGTAGTGGGTTCAATTAACCTCGCCTACAGGGCAGACGGTATGCGGTAGGAGGTTGAAATTTGCACACCTTATAGGTGACAGAACGGGTCAGCGCCATTTCCAGGTTCCGACTCGCTGGGGTGCACGGTTCGCGCGTGGGGCGCGCTGGGAGAACGCCAATGAAATTTTGATCGGTTCGTAGATCTTCATTGAGAGCCGGGGTCGACAAACTTTGTGAGCTAAATGCATGCCGATCGGTGGCGGGTGCCTCGCATTGGCGGATTGTGAAATTATTAATTTTAA